CTGAGCTGCACTACTCTCGAACTTAGCGACAGGGATCTTCAAGTAGCAGGGGGTACACTAGCGTTAGCCTCTCCTCACTTCTCGACAGTACACTCTAGCCACGCTCACTCAACCGCTGAGCTGCACTACTCTCGAACTTAGCGACGGGGATCTTCAAGGAGCAGGGGGTACACTAGCGTTAGCCTCTCCTCACTTCGCTGTAGTACACCCTAGCCACGCTCACGCAACCGCCATGCTGCACTACTCTCGAACCTAGCGACGGGAATCTTCAAGGACCAGGGGGTACACTAGCGTTAGCCTCTCCTCACTTCTCGACAGTACACTCTAGCCACGCTCACTCAACCGCTGAGCTGCACTACTCTCGAACCTGGTGACGGGGATCTTCAAGGAGCAGGGGGTACACTAGCGTTAGCCTCTCCTCACATCGCTACAGTACACTTTAGCCACGCTCACGCAACCACCATGCTGCACTACTCTCGAACCTGGTGACGGGGATCTTCAAGGACCAGGGTGTATACTAGCGTTAGCCTCTCCTCACTTCGCTACAGTACACTCTAAGCTACGCTCACGCAACCGCCATGCTGCACTACTCTCGAACCAAGCGACGGAAGTTTTTTAGGGGGGGGGGGGGGGTGGCGCTAGTGCTATAAATGCTAGCCTCACTTTGCCTCGCTGAAGTACAAGCCCCACTCACGCAAAGGCACGTTTAGAGTGCAGCGTTATCACAGCGTCGGCAAACGTCACATTCGTCGTAGCGCACAGGCCAAGTCTAGTTATGCGTTGGCTGAGGAAGTGCGTCGACTTATCATCTGTTTTCGCCTGCATGACACAGCGTATGCGCGTCCACCTTACGTCGAACCATAATCGCACCTTACAAGAAGCTAAAAACATGACGAAAAAGAAAACAACAACTAGAGCTATATGTACGTGTTGTAGTTATTATAATCACACCAAGTGCTTCTTGTTTTCCTTCATATGAACAGCTCATTTAAGCAGAACAATTACTCGACGTGAAAAGGGCATTTTATGCGCTGAAAAAGTGATATAGACACGAACTTAAATATAGGCACTTAATTGCAAAATAAATGTGTCAATAAAATGTTTCCCATTCCTTAGTTCGTGTTTATATATTGAATAGGCTCGAAATGGACTCCAGAAAAAATAGGTATTTTGCCTAAAGTTTCGGTATTTACTCATAAAAGTTGGGTACAGGAATTGATTCCATTATCAAATATTGATGCAGCATCAAGGATTCGCTCACTAACACGTGATATAACAGACTCGATCTGGTACAAAACCGGTTTTCTTCATACCCGCCAACGCCGTTTGGATCCGTCACTTCAAGTTCAAATTCAACGCACACTTTCGCGATCCGAAACAACCGTCCTCTGCTGTTTGTGGCTTGGAGTGCGATTCACGAACAATTACGCTTACAGAATGGATGACCGCGCTGCGTGTGATCACTGTGTTAGTGAGGAAACCATTGCCCACGTCCTTTGCGACTGCCCCCATTATAGCTCTCAAAGAGCAGAGCTTTCGGAAACATTCGCAAGGCTCGATGTATGACCAGCCGCTTTCGGAGCAGTCAATTTCGGAGTACCGGAGCATTCTACCTTCCGACCAGAAAGCGACGAAGGCGCTGCTGATGTTTCTGCGGTCAACTGGACTCGCAAAACGACTGTGACACTCCCGTGCTTGTGTGTGTATGCGTTTCCTTTGTTTAGCCATTCCTGTTTTCCCTCCTTACGTTTCTATCTCATTTCCTTTTCCCCAATGCAGGGTAGCAAAATGAAAATTTTCTTTTGGTAACCTCCCTGTTTCTCACTCTGTTCTCTCTCTTGCACGCAAAAGCCCAGATATTATTAGTAAAAAGATCAGTAGTTGTACAGTTGTATATTTAGTTAGCTTTCCTGCCTTTTTTTTTTCATTTACCTTTCTCGCGTCCCATGCTGTGTGAACGCGGAAGTGAGAAGCTTTGAACCCCAAATCGACCTATTTGTTTGTTAAACAACAAAAGTATCTGGATGGGTCATTTCATGTCACTTGACTTGTGGTATGAAGAGCGCGTCTATCATGTATCGCTGTGTGTAGAGATGCTTCAATCTGCCCCCATTTCCAGTGCAAGAAGCTTTCAGTCGATGCCAGTTTGTCTTGAAAGCGGAAGTCTAAACGTATTGCACTTTCGGAATGCTGTCCATTCGTTTCAGGACAAAGGCGCCTGGTGGACCACTTCTACGTCAATGACCAACACTGCGAAAGGGAATGCGATGCCCTCGTCTAGCATTTCTCGCCTGAAGTGTCGACTTGGCAAATAAGGAAGGACAGGTTAAAGAAACACGTTCAATGACACAAACAGACTGGACGACCTACGCTTTGCGTGCTTCAGTTTTTGTCCCATTAGTTTTTATTTTTTTTCCCATGCTGCCATAATAGCAAGCATTTTTTAGAGTCGTGCTAACTTTGACAAACACTGCATCTCAAGATGCTTTTTGTTTTCACGTTTTCTGCAAGTGCTCATAGCAAAAAAAAGTTAGCAATGCTATACATAGCACATGTGGAAATTCATTCAGGCCCATATACGTCGAGTAAACGAAAACGACGTGCATTCATTGTTGAAACGCTGCTTCTCAGCGTTAAAACAGCAACTAACGACGCTTCCTCTTTTGCCCAACAAGCCATTTTAAAGACTACTTGTTAGTATCTCTCGTCAGATCTTAACTTCCTTAAGCGAGGAATGAATGAATGTTCAAACTGAAATGCATTGACGTACTTTACCAGCAGATGTATAATTTTTACCAGCACTTTCGTTCAGTGTTGCCAACTTCTGCTACTATGTGTGATAACTAAAGGTCGAAAATGTGTGCCGTATGTGGTTACATTGTATATATTTGAACAAGTTGCTTCAACCTTAGGATTGACATTTGCTGGACATCCTCGCGTGTTAAAATGAAAATAGATGGCGTAGAAAAATGTTTAGTTTTGTTCACGATTACTTTACTGTGCGTTCTTATAGATGAAGAAAAAAGGAAGCATAGTACTTCACTAAAGTGAAATTAGTAAGCGAATTAACAATGTTCTGAAGCTCTATTAGGAATAACTCCTGTATTGTGCGGGTATAAATAGGCATCTAGGAAAGCCATACATCACCATGGCTGAATCTTTGAATGTTTCAGTAGAGATGAGAGAGCCAAATAAGTTTTTTATCTATTGGTACATTCTAAAGCATGGTGGGTGGCTCGGTCAAAAAAGTTCCTCCACAATCTCTGATGTAACTACACTTAGTGAGTGGTGCATGAACGGGGTTCAAACCAATTTTATACAGAAGAGCTCTTGGGCCTTTTTCAATGACGTTGTTCGTTTGTTTACTGCATGCTTGCTGTGCTTTTTTTGTGAAGTTATCGAATATTTATAAGCTCAGTCCGTTGTTACCCAATATCATGATCTTAAATAACTGTATTGATCAGGAAGCGGGTATACAGCAGCCACCATTTTCTGGCTATGAAAGTTCTGCTTTCGGCACCTTTTTAGAAACTTTATTTATTCATCATTGTTAATATGCTGCTTACTGATTCATGTGAAGCACATATTCAGGGCACTTTCAGAAGTTGTAACGTGAATTGTTTCTGAAATTACAAAGAAGAATATATAAACCCTGAAATATTTCTTGACAACGTTTATAAACCAACTGAGCCGGTAGCATAAGCCGAACGTGTCAATATCAGGGTAATGTAAGCTCTTCAAGTAGTGTGCGTCGTTTATTATAAAAGCACGGGCTAGCAGCGGCACTGCTACAGTGAGCTTTCAACCACTTCTGCCTATGAAATGGACATGTGTTGTCTAATCGGATGGTAAAAGCAGCGCTGCAAAGCTGAAAACGCGAAGAACAGGGACAACGCTGACGAAGCTGTCTGATCTTACTGAGAGGCCTTTCGATGTCACGGGTAATTTATCGTTCTTGCACTGGCGGTTCATTGTGGAAGGTGAAGCTTGGCACCGTTGTACAGGGAAGAAGTTGAGGAAGGAGTACGCGACATGGGAGCAGGGTACACCTAAACCACCCGTGGCGTCATTTACACAAGGTGCTTTACTGGGTCACTTGCCTTCGTGATGGAACCCCTATGCGAAAATGCATTTCTTGACAGCCATTCTCCTTATCCTCTATTCTTTTTTCTCCTCTCTCTTATCTATCATTCTCCCTTCCTTACGTGTATGGTAGCCAACCGAGCTTAGCTTGGTTAACCTCCCCGTCTTTCCCCTCTATTTCTCTCTCTCTTGACTATGATTAACTTCCCTCCTGGCTGCAGCGGCTGCATTTTCGATGAAGGCGGAAATGCTGTAGGCCCGTGTGCTCAGATTTTGGTGCATGTTTAAGAACCCGAGGTGGTGGAAATTACTGGAGCCCTCCACTATGGCATCTCTCATAATTATATGGTGCTTTCGGCACGTTAAACTTCACATAATAATAAATCATCAATTAGGATTAGCTCCCATTCAAAACTCATGCAAATCAACAAATGGTGATCAGTTCAACTCTATTCTTATTTGGTTCGATGTGGATCGATTTTGAACTTTGCAACACTTGCATTATGGTTCGAGTGCATCATGGTTCTTAATGGTTGAATTTCGGTTCAGAGGCTACACCCTAGTTGTAGCCTAAGCACCAGCAATGCTTCGAAAACCGTTGGAGGAACCCTTTAGCGTCTATGCAAAGGATCTGTCAATAATTGTATACATGACTTGCCGTAGCCAAATATATAGTAGCGCAGGTAGCGTTTCCTCCATGTGTCAAACACCGTAATTAAGATGAAGGTGATGTGGAAGCCTTCCAGGAGAATCCACGAGAAGGCGGCCAAAAAGAAATAGTGAAGCAGCCCGGCCACGGTGGCGCACAGAGTCTGCGCACACAGTTGTGGTGGCAAGCCAGCAGTTGGTCGTTGGGATGAGGGATGGAAAAGAGGAAAGAGAGAAAAACAAAGAAAAGACCAACGTCAGAAGGCGTGTTGAGTTCAAGAAGGTTTTATTCAAGTACATCGAAGGAAAAGTACATTGCACGATCGGCTCCATGTCACCACTTGACATGTATGCATTGTAAACAACATGCGAACACCATTCTCGTCAGTTCACTCGGGCACTAGTGCTTACGTTTCTACGCGACCAATTCTCATACAATGAACTGACTCCGCCACACGTTAAACTATGGCACACCAGAATATAATGATCTCAAGAGTAAAAAAATAAACATATGTTCAACTGCTAAACCTTAAGGACCCACAAAGCTGTGATTTGACACAAGAAGCGAATATGGGCCGCATTCAGGAAGTATTATTAGGTGCCAAAACTTTTTTGCTCGAACATGCAGTGGATGTAAATGTGTTTCGAATGGAAGCCTCAGGTGTACGAAACATTATAGACTACATGGAATATATAAGTACACGGTGAATAAGAGTTATCGCAACTACATATAGTCTTTAGAAAATGACGTAGCTGGTGTAATGACTGAATTATTCCAGGTCACAGAAGCACGCATGCAAGGACATTCGTACAGTGAATCAAATTGGTACAGATGTGCTTCTTATGGCTGCTTTTGGTTGCCTCGCGCACAAAAAAGACCGGCAAGCTTTCTTGCTGAATATTGAGGTGGCTTCAAGTAGCCCGCTTCTACGAGCACAACAAGAGTCGAAAAAGCGTAGATCAATTCGTTGCAGATGGTGGCAATCTCTACCTTGTGCTTGGTTTGGTCAATGCCGAACATGAGGACAACTTCCGCTACCAGAAGACAGATACAAAGGTTCAGGTGAATTGACGTACGAGTGTTGCGTAAGGACCTGGAAAGAGTGAAAAGAGGAAAAAAGATTGTTGTATGGGAGCGTTCACACTAGCTTCGAATAGCAGTGAAGATATAGTGCTATAGGTACTGTAGTGAAACATCAAAGGCTGGATGGATTACGATGATTGTGCCCTGTAGGTGACATGCACTTGCCCCCAAATCTATAGGATAATGTCGAAATAATTTTTGTCAAGAAATAAAAAAAACGTAAGTAGTGCTTGTATTGTCAGGAAAATGGGGGCAAAATGAACTTGGCATGTGCTTGCCGGAAATACAAGTTTCTTTCTCTCTCTCTTTCTTTCTTTTTTTCTTTCACATCGCACAATGCTCCCTTCAAACGGGGAATTGAACCTTCATCCATGAGCCTAGGAGGGCGGCAGTTGCTACAGGCAACAAGGACGGCCATGCCGTTCATATCTGGGCGACGTAAAATAACTTATTTTGAGAAAAGATGAGGTTGTCATATCAGAAGTGGCTGATCACTGACAAGCCAGTGAGCAAGGGAGCATAAATTATTAGAAAACTGAGCTTACAGATACGCATGTACTCACTGCACCTTAGACTGCCTCATTTCTGTGCGACGTTGCCCCGAAACCTTCATGTTATAAAAGCTTCCCCTTCCCCGCCATGGCGGCCTAGTGGCTTAGGTAAATTGAAGTAAGTGTGGGATTGGGCTAGTTGGTAATGCGTTATTTAACTTCTCAGCGCAAAAACTTCCGACAAGAAACAAAAGAGACGAGGACGAGCACAGACTTTCAACTAAATTTATTACTACTTCGACGCACATATATATGTGTTTCTTATATATGTTTTGTGTATTTTGTTTTATGTGTTTTCTGGTTTCTGCTGAAGCAAGTGATCTTATCCTCTTTTTTTATAACATATATATGTCCGTCGTAGTAGTAATAAATTTAGTTGAAAGTCTGCGCTCATCCACGTCTCTTGTGTTACTTGTCGGAAGTTTTTGTGCTGAGAAGTTCAATAATGGCTTAGGTACTCAGCTGCTGACCCGCAGGTCGCGGGTTTGAATCGCTGCTGCAGCGGCTGCAATTCCGATAGAGGTGGAAATGTTGTAGGTCCGTGTGCTCAAATTTGGGTGCACGTTAAAGAACCCAAGGTGGTCGAAATTTCCGGAGCCCTTAACTACAGCGTCTCTCATAATCATATGCTAGTTTTGGGACATTGAATCCCACATATCAATCAATAAATAGAAGCTTTGCTTAACGTACCATGAAGCATGGTCTATCTGCCTTCTTTTATCATATGAAGCACGATTGGTTATTGTACGTTGTGCGTTGTGTTCGCCAATGAGCAGAAATGCTATAACACCCTAATAATGGCGCCATCACCTTCTGTACCTATTATATACAAGCCAGATTGGGATTTGGTCTTGCAAAACTAGATGCCGCTCTGTGCCATCATGCGTTCATTTTCTTTTTTTTTTCTGTGGCTGAGTAAAAGCTGATTCAGACGTTCATGAAAGAAAGCTGGTTTTTACAAAGCGTATTCGCACAGCAAAGCCTGTATTTGCCACCCTAGGTGGCAAGATAGGCTTCATTATAGAACAATAGCCAGCACAGTTTTTTTTTTTGCTCTTTCAGTGCAGTCGGAGGGCAGACATCAACAACTTTGCAGAATAGCGGGAAGGGATAAATCGATCAGTTTTCATAACTAGTGGAGTTTTATCTTCGAAGCGTGCTGAAATTGCGGTCAGTAGTTGCAGTGGACAGACAGTATAGAGTGGCTAATATCCCAGCTGCCGAAACACTTGTTCTTGTTTTATATTACTTTGTTTGTCAAGCTACACTTCGATGTGCGTGCAAGAAAAAATCGGTTAAGGAGATAAAAAGATTCTCGGTTCATTTTCTATTTAAGAAAAAAGTTTGAATACAGGTCCTGCGTTATTAACTCAAATACAAGTGCACCCGGAGGTGGTTCATCGCTAGGCAAACTTCCCCACCCCAGTACAGGGTAGCAAACCAGTTCGTCTAGGTTAACCTCCCTGTCTCTTCCTTTTAATTATTTCTCTCTCTCTCTACTGAGCGGTGAGGCGAAAAAGCATCAACGCAGTAGGTACATTGAAGGAACCGATACATGAATTGAAAATTTGCTCTGCAGGACGTTAGGTGCGTCAGAGGTTTATTTCGGGCTATCTGCGATTATACAAAAAGCCTAGGAAACGGCAAGACCTTCGAATGACCCTTCTTGGAATGTTTACTGTCAATATATCACAATCTGATGGTTCGACTCTTTCACCGTTCGATAAATATGATGAGCGTGCTTTATTGAGCACTCAAGCCATGCGCATTGTAATCGGCCAGCCCATTGTAACAAGCCCCATGCATTTTCTGCATTTTCTGATGCATTTTCTTTGTATTTCCTAATTTCTTGAGGTTTTGAAAATAGACGTCAAATTGTTTTTTCATGATTTGTGCTCTGCGGATTTTTGTAATGCCAAGTGAAAAGGGGTAGGAGCCTCGTCAAGCTGCTAACATAGCAGCTTTTTGCTCCTATCCTTGCGTTTTCTTTTTCGCAACTCTGTGAAGAAAATGCTCAATAAAACTGAAACTGAAACTAAACTGAATGCTTCATGGTTGCTCTCTAGCAGCGAATATTTGTGCCCGTCCGCATCACGCTGGTAGCAACTGTGCCACTTTAAATGTAGTTTGTGAACTCTGATTGATTAATATGTGTGGTTTAACATCCCAAAACCACCATTTACTTATGAGAGGTACCGTAGTGGAGGGCTCTTGAAACTTTGACCACCTGGGTTTCTTTAACGTGCACCCAAATCTGACCCCACGTGCCTACAGCATATCTGCCTCCATCGGAAATGCAGCCGCCGCAGCCGGGATTCCATCCCGCCAGCTGAGGGTAATCAGCCGAGTACCTTAGCCACCTTAGCCACTTAGCCAGTGGACTCTGATCAAAGCATTCCGAAAACCCTATTGATTAAGTGTGTTGCAGTTGCTCATAACCTTACCACGTGGTAACTTGGTCGGTGCTCGGGTTCATAAAAGTAACTGTTCAGTGAGAAAATAAACATGTGTGCACTTTTGAATTACGCTGCAGTTTCAACGAATTCAATACGTGAATTTCGATAGATTGTTTCTTCGCTTGACACAAAATTATTCAAAACCAGTGGGTAATGGGGCCATTTTTCTACTGTATTAAGTCTTTTGCAGTAACTGTGATGTGGATGTGAAGAAAGTAAAGTGAACGAAAAAACTACTTTCCGCCGGCCGGGACTGGACCTAAATTTTCGCAAGGGTGCCATGCTTTAGTATAAGAGCCGCAGTTCGTCACTTCACCTTCTTATGCCTAATAACTTTGTGTAGTAACCGCAATAGTGCAAACCTAGGATCTTTACTACAGCTACGCGAGACATCCTGTACCGAGAACTTCAAATGAGAAATCGCCAAAGATTGCACATATGCCTTTTTTGCAATCACTGGTGAAATGGTATCGCAGTGTTAATATGTGACCTACCTGAAGCAGCCGAACACAGTGACGCAGAGGCATAGGCAAAGAACAGACGCGCTGCAACCTGTCCAAGTAATGATCCTCAGGGGCAGGGTCGACCTCTCGTCTTTCGGCAACGCTCCATGCAGGTCCATAAGCACGGCGAAGTTGGACAGGTGCTGGCAGAAGCAGACCACGTGGGTGCCGTTACGTCTCCCAACCTGGCATCCATCAGGGCTCCATTCACTGTACGTGTTGCAAAGTAAAAAAAAAACACACAGAGAGGCATCGATAACGCAATATTGCACGAGAGAATCATTATGTCGCTGTTTTGCAAGCAGAAATAGCACCAAATCTTTTCGTAATGTAATCAAAAGATAAAAAAAATCTGGTCTGGTCATGAATGCTCATAGTCGGATGTAAAAGAAAGATGCCGACCAAATGTAAAAAAAAAAGTTGAGATCAAAGACGTTTCGGCTCACATGCGGAGGCTCTGACTTTCTTAAATGTGACACGATTGCACTGTGCAAACTGAAAGAAGACAGAGGCGAGGGCACAAAACAGGCAATATATGTTATGCCCTTTTACGCTATACCCATTGAATTTGTACTGGTGCATTCATGTCGCTATTATATCCCCAACTCGGCCTAGCCACTACTATATCAAGTTGCGTACCTATGCTGTGCAGATTATTGTTGGGTGTCGCATTGATCAATGCGTACGCGTTCTACATAGGAATGGCCGACACTGCTGCATGCGACCATTATGGCCGTGACGAAACAACTTGGCACATTCTGCGTGAATGTCCACAATACTGCTCGCAGAAACAGTTATTCTGCAATGCACTAGACGAACTCAACAACCAGACTCTCTCGAAAGAAAGAATCCTGCACTGCCGACGGGACTATGTCGCAGAAGAAGGCTGTGAAGGCGCTCTTGCGCTTCTTGCGTTCAACCGGCCTGTCCAAACGACTGTGATCGGAACTCGGTGCATGTGCATGTATGTGAATTTTTTATAATTTATTTTATATCTCTCTGTCTCCATCCTCTTTCCCACACTTATTCCCCCACCCCTGTACAAGGTAGCAAACCAGTTTTTCTAGGTTAATCTCCTTGTCTCTTCCTTCTATTTATTTCTCTACTCTTTTGATATATTGTATTGCGCTTGCAACGAAATAATTATGTGACCAGTGAGGATAGCTCATACAAGCAGAGCCGACTTGTAGTCCCATGCAGCTAGTAGTTGAAGAAATGGACTTGTGTACAGTCACATACGTAGCCTACTTGGCTGTGTATCACTGATGCAAACTGGAAGCAGCCGCAAGAACATTTTCGTCCATTGAGTGCAGTACTACTACTTTCCTACGGCTTATCGCCATCAACGATGACTATAAGGTGATTGCACTTATGATGCTGTACTCAAAAGTAAATAATGAAAAGAAGAGAGAAAGGTCGCACATGTGGTGCCGAGCCTGGCGGAATTCTGTGGAGCTAGGCAGTGTTCTTTGTTTGTGTTCTGTTTTCTCTTTCTTTACTATACTCTCTTCCTTTTGGATCTCCCAATTTTTTTTCTTTTCTTCTCTTCAATTCTTTTTTTTCTATCTTTCATTTTATTTTTCAGCTTTCTCTCTCCTTCTGTTTCTCCCTCGCTCCTCCTTACTTTTCTATATTTATTCACCGTTTCACTTACAGCGCTCCGCGCTTAACATCATCCTCAAGGCGCTCAAAGAAGAAAAGAAGCAATACTTTAGCAGGGCGAGAGTGTGCGCGCAATATGCTGCATATGGCTAAGCCGTATATATATGTGGCTTTGCCTGGGTTAAAGTCATCATCAAAACACTCAAAGAACAAGAAGTAGACGTGTTTGGTGGGCATCTCAAACAAGTGGCCCGTGTGCCGCATGTGGCTCCCAGACACTTGTTTAGTGGCCCTTCCCACACGACACGGTCTTCGTCTCGTTCATGAGCTGCAAAGCCGCACTTGGTCTCAATCGTTCTCATCTTGATGCCCCCCATGCGGCCGTACTTGCTCTAAAGCATTACAGCGGAACGAAAAATCACGGTGATTTCACGAAGTGAATGATGATGAGGGAGCGAAGCAGTGGGATCGTTCGGCGTTTCCCTAAATTACCCGTGTCATTGACAATTAACGCATGTAAATTAGTGTCAAAGTGGTGTCCAGTTATGCAGAATGGTTTATTGGTCACAACTGGCATGTTTTGGTAAGTTGTGAATTTCATTTCGTCTTCATTATTATAGATTTTTGATATCGGATCTAGCCGGAAGTTGGCAAATACGAGGTCTGGGCACGATCCCCTGGTGGTTTTTGGTTGTTTCCAGTCGTACGAAATGCATCGTAGAGCATATCGAGACGTCATATGCTGCACAAACCTCGTTGTTTGTGATCATTATTGTTATCAGTGTCATTGTCGTAGTCATGGCGTATAGCGGGTACCTTGCATGTACTGCGTCATGAAGGCAGAAGGAGAATGTGTGGTCTAGAACGCGGTTGTTCTTTATCGTTATCAGTGTCATCGACATCGTCATAATGTGTAGTGGTTACCTTTCATGTGCTGTGCCGTGATGGCAGAAAGAGAATGTGGGGCATGAAACGCTCTGGTTCATCATCATCAGTGCCATCACCATCTTCATGGTGTATAGCGGGTACCTTGCATGTGCTGCGCCACGAAGGCAGAAGGTGAATGTGTGGTCTAGAACGCGGTTGTTCTTTATCGTCATCAGTGTCGTCGACATCGTCATAACGTGTGGTGGGTACCTTGCATGTGTTGTGGCATGATGTAAGAAAGAGAATGCTTGCTTCACAACGCGCTTGTTCATCATCGTCATCAGCGACATCGTCATCAGGGTCGACGGCGGACATGGCACGACCCTCAAGAGCTTTGCCCGAAAAACAGTGTTTCAGAATCAGCGTCCTGGTTGCAGTGATTAAAAGGTCAGTTTCCATGTTTCTCGAAATATTGCATCGAGTCCCCGTCAGAAGTGAGCCATATAAAAAACGTGACAAAAATCTGCTTCTAAGTGGCACCGTTTACTAACGTTTTCTTCAAATTCGAAATTACAACCCCACCCCCACATCTCCGACATTATATGCTGTCCCGGCCCTCACGGGATGAAGTTTTGTGACTGTGGCTCGCTAACTGAGGTGTGTGTGAGACCAATGCTTCATATGCGCTTTTACCTGCGTTACGCCAAGTGATGGCGACAGCATACGATCACAGTATGCGACATCCTGGCCACCCAATGCGCTCAGAACTTAGAAACACTTAAATCAAGTGTTACGCCTGCACCTCATCCTTTTTCCAATGACAAGTGTGTGCTTTTAGGAGCGAGCGAACAAGAAGAAAACTGCAACAACTCCAAACGCAGAACCCCGGGCCACAACGACAGAGATAAGAGCGCTATTAGGATCGAGTGTTGTGTTTGCAGCAATTTGCGCAATATCCCAGAAAGCGTACGGGGTAGGAAGGCCGCCGTCCGATAAAGCTTACCGGAGAGGAAATGAGCACTTGAGTATACTTGAGTACCCCTAGCTGAGTACTGACTACACAGTAGGCTGCTGGAATATCGCTTATCTCTAGTTTGAGGGTATTTCTTAATTCAGATTGGGCGTTAAGTTTGCCTTCAGTAAGGTAGCCTTTAGTAAGAAAGATATGTGTTGAATGGATTCTTGCTTTTTTTAAAGACTAAAGGAGATAATCAGAAAGGAAGAAGATAAGAGATTGCTACTGCATTCGTACTATATACCGAGAGTATTGACAGCTTGAAGGCCGATCTCGTATAAATGTCTTTCCCGCTCTATCGGCACAAGTTTCAAGATTTTAGCCTTGGAGATGTCTAAAGAATATTGTGCAAACGTAATACGATTTTTCAATGTCACTGTATAATGGCCTTGATCGCGGAATAGGAATTATGTGAAGAATGCAGAATTAAGGAAGAACTGTAAGACAGCTCAACGAAGTAGTGAAAGCACAACTTCTTACCATTGTGCAGAGCACCTAAATAGATCTCCAAACATCCGTGCTTTCAGTATTTTCTCGCAGAATCATCGGGAGAATTTGATTAAAGTACTGCAGTGCAGGCTAATATAAACACTCACGCATAGGCGTTATACGTGCAGAAGCTGCATGGTCAGCGTATTTCGAGGCGCAAAGAACCGCATTTAAAAAGAAGGACGCCGTATATATATCTTCGCCATTACGTGCGAGATGTTCTGGCTTTTACTCGCTCATGACTGACTTGCTTGCAGCAGCGATGAAAAAGATTTAACGCGTACTTGATGAGAGTGTCCCAGAAGACGCATGTGGGGTTCTCTGCGTCGTGGTGCAGCATGGGCAGAGCCAGTTCGACGTGCGCGCCCAGCACCAAGCCCGGCGCCTCACTGCCCACTCTGATGCTGATGGCCGGAGAGTTCAGTTCCTGCTTAGGATCTCCTATGTCCACCCTGCAACCACGTCATTGTAAAAGTGCTATGGGCTTATTGGTCGAAAATTTAGGCTTGATTCACTAAGTTTATAGACGCGAAAGCATATCTTGCTGCTTACAGCTAAAGACTAACGCTGGCTTTCAGTGAAAATAAATATTTCCGGAGAACTTTATTTATGCCCGCAAGCCAAATAAGCGTTTACATAGAAACAAGCACTTCTCACAGTGACTTTCAATCCAATTTTAACAAGCATCCAAATAACTTCAGTGGTTCTAAACGTATAAACAAATACAAATATTGCAATTACGAATTGATATTCTGAGTGGGCTGTTGAACACAGTAAAATCTTTCTCTTTAGTAAACTATTTTTATAAAACTTCTGCCGCATAGAAATTTGCGAAGGCACACAGCAGGCGTAAATTTGTTTTATTCCCGAAAAAGTCACGTACAAAGAAACCACATCCAAAAGCAAATGTGGCCTGTTGTGTGGTATAAGTGCCTTCTTCAGCGAGAAGCAAATGTGCGTGACCTCGAATTTTGCTTGGTATACCACACGTATTAATTATATATCTTTCGTCTCATCTTTGTCGGGGCGAAATGATATTGCCTAGCTTGTCAAAGGTGATGGATGATTCTCCTTCGAATGCATGGAATGCAAAACAGGTGGCGGTATTGTTATGACGCGTTCTAGGATTGGAGGCGAAAGTTAATGAAGTAGACAGTATGGGGTTTTTCAATCAACGTGTCATACATTCATCCATTTTCCAACCATCGATTATTATAGAACTACTGTGGTCACAATTGTTTCATTGGCAACATGCATGTGGGTGTTTAAAATAGCTTTGGAAACGAGTTTTGATAGACATACGAATAATGAGAATGTACACATTATCAGAAGAAGATTTCTCTAACAAGTTTGTCTACAAAGGCAGCACTGCACACGTACGCTCACATTTTTTTGTCTTCCTTCTCAATCGAAAGCAATTATTACATTTTTTTAATTTTAAAATTGGAAAATTTCTAGCAGCCGCTGTTTCTGTATACATGTATTGTCTGTATGATCATTTTTTTATCCTTCACAGCTGTCCTGTACATTCTGTATCGGAACAGCCACTAGTCGCTTTAGGCTATAGGCCTAAATAATTCTTGTACTTTCATTATTCTGTTCATGAAAAATAAAGTTCGATTTATTTATTTATTTATTTATTTATATTTATACTTGTACACTTATTACAAGTGTTTTATCTGTTATTCAGAAAAAAACAAATATGTTATCGAACCCGCGTCAGCGTTTTCAGCGCTTCTGTATGTGGTATTCTTGTTACACATACATGATTGTGCTATACAAACTTGCAAAGTAGCATTTGTTCAAAGAAATATGCTGACTGTTATAAACGAAAGGGCGAACGTCTTTCCCGTAAATTAACACTAGTTTTCTTTTTCGTACGCTCTTGCGACGCCAGCAGGGCCAGTGTGGTTACAAAACGTAGTCTTAATTTCCTTGACAAAGCTATTTTCCTTGTCTATTAACTTGGCGTAACTCATGCAATCACTTGTGAGGTCACCACATTCGTGCAGAAATTGATTTCAAGAACGCATAGATGAAGTTTCGAAATCCATCCCAGGATCTGCCAATTTTCATATGTGGTAGTTCGTGACAAATAATCATTTTATTCAAACGATACTGTTGAAGAGCGAATATCTAGTAGTTCCGTTCCTAGCTGTTCTCGCTTTTAATTTGACGTTTTGTTATGTCTTCTGTATCTTGTATCGACGTTTTTCGCCGTGTTTTCAGCCTATATTGAGCCAGGCTGCACCTTCACCCTTTGCCATTAGAGTGTCTCAATGTGGAGGCGCGCGCACGTCGAAGCACTCTCTTTGCCACAGAAGCGGCTATTCTGTTTCTTCCACTTCTGTGTGGTGTATGATGATGCCATTGTGTTGCCATAAGTTAGTCGGATCGAACAGCTAAACCATTGAATGACATGATTTCCGCGACTAAGTATTTTTTCTCACGGCGATGCTTTTCCTAAATGAAGTTTAGTCTCCCTAATCCAACCTCTAAGAAGCCTAGCGAACAGACCCACTGAGTAGCAAATGGGCTGACAATCTCTTGAGCTACTTCCATGACACTTGTTGCGCAGCATTGTTAGATTGCTACTTCTCCAAGTTAGGCGGCTACCATTGAAGACTTCACTCAGTTCATTTTTTTTTCTCACCTCGAAAGAACGGCGTGTAACATTCGTTAACCGACCATTCCGTTCCAACTTCTCTGCGCAGTCTTACCGTAAATCTTTAAGCGCCATTGAACGGCTGCTTAGCCGAAGGCCGAATCTCGCTCAAGTGTAGCCGCCGTCGTATCATTTTAGCTTCTACTGTCTAACTTTACCTCCGCAAGTGACGTGCTTTACCCAGCGGCATATATTTACTCAGTTCAGGGACAGTCTGACAAACGTAGCGAGATGTTAGGTACTTGCCGAGACGTCCGACAGTAGCTACATAATCGCAAACTTGAAAGAGAAAGTCAGTGAAGGAGTGAATATGGGTCAATGTCGAGGAACGATGACTCGGTTCTCAGAAACGTTAGTCGGGAAGTTAGGCCGGCTGTCACAGCGAATTCGGGACATTTAGTGGAAACCCATTGAAGTCCAAGGAGACACATCGACAGGCGTGCTTCTAACAAGCGGCGTACGCGGCCGCGGTGGTGGTGCGTCTTTCAATCTTACGGTCAGACTCGGAGACGCCCTGCTGATGTCCCTGAGAGCCTCATATACCAGGGCCACCCACGCGAGTAGGTACATACGCCAAGCGGCGCCAGCGGAACACACAAAGCTGGGACAGCCGTCCCGCTGTTTTCTGGGAAAACACCGATCGAGCGTGCCCTGGTGGCCTCGCTCTCACCCGTCGTCGAGGAGGAGCTTGTCGAGCCGCGGGAACTCGGTAAACACGATGACGACGTCGCCTGCACCGTCTTGGCCAGCGGGGCCAACTGGTGAATCTTCTTCAGCGCCGCTCGAGTTGCGTGCGATGCGAAGTTGCGCCGTGCTGTACGATCGGTTGGATGAGTTACCGGGCGCGGGCAGCAGCATCGTCTGGTTGGCGATGTGTGTCGTCGTGCTTGAGATTATGTTCATCTCTGCGTGTGAAGGAAACAAAGTTCAGTAAGGCGGACAACTGGACTAGTTGGTAGGGTTGCACACGTAATGGGGCACTAAAGTAAAACAATAAATTAGTTTACGCTGCTAAGTTATATTCTTAGGGGTTTAGCATTGTTCATTTCGCCACCGTAGGCTTACTAACAGTTGACAAAATTGTCAAAAGTTTGACTTACAAAATTTCTGCCAAAATGTTCGTTGGTGAGATCACGGATTTCAAAGTATGTAGGCCACATTGGCTCTACGAAATTATCTGCAACTGCTTATGTTTGGGTCTATGGTTCTCTCAAACGACGATGCACTTTCTTTTGACCGATTAGGAGCGCCGTATAGCACAATAGACACGATCAATATCTAAGACTGCATGGCGTCTGGCGCGGTAACTTCAAAGGGGCACCGGCAGCTACCTTTTCTTTTCGAGCGTTTTATCGCTTGTGAAATATCTTCTCTGAGCAAACCTGGTCTTTTCGGAATTGTGAAACAGCGATTCGCTAGTGTGAGAGAACTTATTTTTCTCGTAAGTGTACCATTCACTAATGGCGCGTGTGTGAGAGAGGAAAAAGAAGGAAGGAAGAATAACAACACGATGGAAGCGCTGACTAACAACTGAAACATTTTTACCGCAAAATCAAGCTTAAGTAACATCGATTACATAACGAATCTAAAGGAAGGTTCAATTTGAAAATAAACTTAAGAAAATAGCAAACGCATTAACTGTCTTCGCCAGCTAACCAACAAGTACTTCCGAAAACTTTAGTTATTTTAGTTTGCGAATATTTTATTGCCTTGTTAGTTTAACTATTCTAATCGGACTATCCAGCAAACGTGATGCGCGGCCGATGTCATTTAAACATTATGTTGCGCAATATATGGTACGGTTGACGGTCACATCTCGACTAGCGCTCTTTTTCTTTTTACCTCTCGTTTTATTTATTTTTTTGCTCTCTTGACTAAGTAACAAAAAAAGACGCAAAAGTCAAATAAGTTTAAGGGAAATGTAAATATTCCTCTGAGTATATTGGATGCACGAAGTGTAGTTTTACGTGCCAATATTCGATTATACTAATTAGACAACCACATATTCTACGACTACGGAGAAATACATGGGCGCAAATCCCCAGCTTGCCTCGTGCTATCATGCATTTGAAAGTACAACGAGGATTCAGTGAGGTCCTTCCCCTTGATTTACGTTCGCATGCAGGAATCTTTTGCTCTTCGAAGTTGGTCTGAAGCTAAGCAAGCACTGCTGGCGTACAGCAAGGCGCCACGAAGAATACAGTGTGTGGTACATTACTGCAGACTCGTGGAAGTGCCTTTCATATGCAGTACGGGAAAATTTCATGTAGATTCACCGAGACACTGAAGTCGGCTCTCGGCTTTATGACACTCGTGTTTATAGCTGGCCTAAAAGGGGTAGTACGTAAGTGCTCACCCATTTGGCATGTTCTCGCGATAAGTTCGCATGGCGGAAAACACTGGATGAAAGCAAGTTAAATCACGTTAACCTGGCTGAAAACGAAGGCGGTTGCTGCAGTCATGCGACGATTCCCGCACAACGACCCCTTGCTCTTATCGAGCCTTCATCTTAGTCTTCCTTGACGCTTGGAGCGACTCTCAGCGACTCTCAGCGACTCTCAGCTTAGCGACTCTTTATTCGGTTTAGTTTGGCCGTCTGTATCTTTCGTGGTGATAATTCTTTTGACTGCGTAACTATCTAAGCCCGTGCAATGCACTTGTTTATTCTGAACTAAACTCAAAATATCCCACCCTTTTTCTTCTTCATTATTTTTTGTTTGATTACTTTTATCTTTCGCTTTGAAAATAGCTGATTCTCATCTTTCTTGTGCTCTAAGGTAGACGCATATTTTGTACAAATGCACTATAGAATGTATGAGCTTGGAAACTGGAGAATTCTATGGCACCGCAGGAACTTGTATGATATTTTGCTAGCCTCTATCTGCCGCTATTTGTTGATGGAATGTCCGCACAAGTTTTATCTCTTCATTTGAACTAACGTGATGTATTTATGGCGCTATTTTTTTTTTGCTTCCGTCATGTATTGCCACAGGATACGACATGTTATGTGAATAAAATATAATTAAATTGTATAGATTTTAACAATTATTGTTCTAATCAGGGGGCAAGGTAAACTAAGATAACGGCAGTGACACACCTGCTCACCTGTGCGCGATGCAGAGCGGAATAAAGGTTGGTGTTGCTTATTTCCACACACTATATATGTTTTCTATGCCTCCATGACTCCGTCTGGGGCTTCGTTGTACCACAACTGTCAGCAAGTGTGGCGATAACATTGCACTTACGGAAGTTGATAAAAGCGAGAATCTTCTGTTCGCTGCTGGCAGCACTGAGGATTATTCCGGCGACATCCATGATCAGCAATAGAGTCGTGGCGCAGCTGTGGCGCGTTTGCTGCGAAAAAAAAAACGAATAGTTTATAAGGTCATGGGGTCTCCTGAAGTATCGTCTTTTCCCTCTGAACACTTGTACATGGTGCACAACATAGGAAATCATTTGTTTTTTATACTGCGAGTGTACTCATTTTCACTCCTGTATTGTTAAATTATTGGACACGCTTTCTTCACCAAGCGGTCACCGTACAAACAATGACTACGTGCAAGTTAGCCAACATTACGTTCTGAACAAAAGTCGACTTAAAACAGTTCAATAAATTTGTGATGATTAGATGTTGAAACAGTGCATGCATGCAGAATTATTGGAAGGTGATAATACACAGTAATGACGATTATCTTAAATGCCTGGGAATCACCACATAACTTTCACACCTCTTTCAGTCATATCCGAATGACTTTTTTCGATATTGTGTTAGCTTGAATGAAAATCTCTCCAACTGTTGTGAGCAATACTACACTTAGGGACTGGTATTCTGGAAAACATAAAGATGGAATTCCAACACAGGCTTTGCCTACGTTCTCACATCTATACTGTATTGAATATCTGGGCGCAGTGCACGAACGTAAAATGAAGTTGAAAGAGATTATATTGGTACCGCAACACACCGCCAAATAAAGCATTTCATAATCTCTCATGAGCTTGCCACGTTTGAAAACAAATGCAAACAAGTTGGCTGTATGAACAAGGTAACTTCACATAACGGTAGTATTTCGTTTAAATAGTTAACCAACTACACCATTGGTATTACTACAATTTATGGTTGCTGTTACTAACTCCCAAGAACTGAGATGTTACTGTTTCATTTTGTATTTGTATTTGTATCTGTTTCATATCTTGGAATACAACAAAAAGGAAACAGAGGCAAAAAAGCGTTTCATACGCCTGACAAAGGCGTCTGCACCTGTAGTTCGTCAGATACGCATTTCTTGTACGTACAACAAAAAACAAAATTTTTGACATATCATGCACCACATGAGCACTAAAAATGGAATATTTCAATAAAAAAATCAAGGTACACAAAATGCGCCTAATGCAATGCAGATACACAAGACTTACACACACAAAAAAAGAGAAGAGAATAACTCGGAACTCAAGTGAATATGTAAACGCCCCATCAGTGCCATTCATTTATATTTGTAGTGACGACAGTAGCTTTGAAAGAGTTGGTGCAAATGCTTATCCGTTAATAACCTCCTCGGAAAAGAAAACACAAACATGGAGCGGAACGCTATTTTCTACAGTGTCATTTCCGGCCATTTTCTAATTAGCGTTGCTACGCGAGGAGATTGAAGGTGCACACGTATCTACTTCAATAAACGTTGTCTAAAATTACGTGTTTTTCGTTCTCAATTAAGCTGACATCTGTATATCCTAAGGCTTCCCTATCTATTAGTAGCAACAAATTAAATGCCAAAGTTGCAAGCGAGTATATGAAGCCTAGCTTGCATTCTTATATGACAGTATATGGGACATTAAGTAAGCGTATATACCATGCACGAGACGTACTCTGAATGCATATACCACAGTATACAGACTTAATTAGCCAATACACGTTTTTATGGACCCATATATGGCAGTACGCACAATCATTCACGTCTGTATATTGACATTCATATCGTCGCACGCGGCCGTAAATTAAGCATGGAGATGCCGTATATCGACATTTCGTAGAGGACTTTATAAGGTGTGCACTAGCGTATAACATTTGAGCGCGCTTATCAACGACGTTATGGGACGCACCGCGGGCACCTCGTTCCATGGCTTGTCGCGGCTGAGCAGTGCGTCGACCGTGGAGGCCGTGAGACCGCCTACGCGCAGCGCCTGCGCGGCGCTGGCGATGCGTCCCGGGTAGTTGTCCCCGGTGTCGCTTCTCGCCACGCCCATGTCCAGAAGGTCGACGATGGCCACCAGATCGCCGCCGACCTCGAGCGAGTTGTTGCCCACGAAATCGCTCACCGTCTCGATGATGTCGGCTAAGTACTTCTGCTGTGCAGAGGCGGCACTGACTGGGTAAAACACTGCGGAGAAGCTTTTTTTTTTTTTGCGAGCGAGGCTGCTCAAAGCACTGGAATATGTTTATTTGTGAGCTTGCTTTGGCAGAGTTTATCAACTCAATGATGTGTGTGTGTGTGTGGGGGGGGGGGGGTGACCCTAACCAAGGCGTCGGCATAAGTGTCATAATGTGGATTGTGCATAAGTGTCATAATGTGGGTGTAGCAGTAGTAGGCCATTAATCGGCGGATTAGATGAGTAAAAGAGATATATAAAAAAAGAAGTTGAAGACAAAAAGTTTCACTAAGTTAACAATCTTCTTGGTTACTTACTCTGCATGGCGGAATATCGTATGAGGCATAAATTATAACAACGAGAACAAAAACACCAGGAAAATGTTTAGATTACATTATTATTATTATTATTATTATTATTATTATTATTATTATTATTATTATTATTATTATGTGTTAATATTATTTCTATAGGCTGCTACAAATACCGAAACCTACATAAAAAAGAAAATAAGCAAAAAACCCATAAAGCGGCCTCTCTCTGGCATTAGTAAAAAGACAGCGCATACCAAAATGAGGTTAAAAAAAATAATAATGCGAGAATTTGATCCGACGGCTCCTAGTGTGCCATAGGCCAGGCATTTACACAAGAAAAAAAATGATGCAGTTTCTGTTTCAATGTGGTGGCTCACTGATAACCTCCTTACGAATCCATGGCACGTGCTTTTCACCTTCCGATGTACGAGCGCAGAAGTTCTCGAATTGGTAATTAGACGCTTAAATGTATTTTAATGCAGGCGGCTAACGTGTGCCACTGGAGCGAAGAGAAGAAAAGATTATGCACCCACAAAAAGCTGATGAAATTAAAAGGCATTTTTTCACTCGATGTTTACCATCGATTGAAAATTGTTCGTATTTAGCCGCAGGTAAATCCTGAACAACTTGCCTTTGAGCTTGCTGTGATCTGTAAAAAAGAAACAGAGGAGAGCAAATTGAGCTTATTACTGCTGGCTGCAGAGCAAGCTCGATTGCGTGCCCTACCTGACTCTTTAGCAACAGTACTGAAGGCTGCACGCACTGCGCCGTGTTCGGGCTCTGAGTCTTCCAGTATCCCCTTGAGTTGCAGCACCACGTCATAATGCCTGTAAACGCAAGTAGTAGGTGTGGAGAAAGTTGTTGAGGTGGACCGGTGAGATAGAGAGAGAATAAGAATAGAAGAAAGGCAGGGATGTTAGCCAGAGCTGAACCCAGTAGGCTACCTGCACTGGGGTAGGGGGAAGGAAAGTTATATAGAGCAGAAGAGAAAACTCGCTTTAACAGTTTCCCGTTCAACATCACAAACGACGAATCAGACCAGCGTACCCGATAATACGTAACAAAGCTTTCGTTGCCTTTCAGAACGGTGATTGGCTGCCCCATGGTTCCAATAGCTTCTCGACCGGGTAATCGGTTCCGTCCTGTCAATGTAGAACAACGCGGAGTTTAAGCCTCTCGTTTGCGTATGTCGGGAAATAACACAAAAGGTGTTCCACTGCCTCATCGACGGCAGAGTTGTTGTATTCTGCGTTCTTGGCCATCCAAATCTTAAATGAGTAGGCGTTGGGGGTACCAGTGGAATATACTCAGCCATAAGGGTATATAGAACGGCTTGAAGAAATAAAAGAAAATGTGCAAGAAGGACGTTTCTGACCCAATTGGATTGTGCAAATAATTAAAATCAGTGCTTCTTGCAACCGGTCGATGGGCTTCTGACTGTTGCACAGAGTTTTTTATATATTTGGCGAAATATGGGAAGGTAGGCTACATTAGAACCAGCTATCTACACATCATGACAACTAATGTTTAAAATATACACAAAAACACTAAAAAATAAGAATGACGACATAAGATGATGCCTACAACAACAACAACAAAAACAAAGGAAATCAAAGTGGTGCCGAAATCTCTGCAAGGGAGGCAAATTAAGGCAATCAAGTTTCCTTATTTGCAAAGTTTTCGGCATCAATTTAGCCTCTTTTCTTGTTGTTGTTGTTGTTGTTGTTGTTGTTGTTGTTGTTGTTGTTGTCGTCGTCGTAATCGTTGTCATTTTTATTTATTTACAGAGTGCCTGCAACGCCATAATGGCATAACTGCAGTGGGGGGGGGGGGGTATACACAGAATCTTCAATATGGTTACTAACATTTCTGCGATAGTGCCCTTTAAACATTCTGGAAAATAAAACAACATAAAATAATTACAGAAAGAAATTTAAAAAAATGTTTTAGTACAATATGACACGTGGCAAACAGGTACTAAAAGTTAATAGGCATGTCACAATGATGAAAATTAAGCGATGTTGTCACTCAAATTACGATATTTTCGGGAAGTCCATTACAGTCTCTAATTGTTTTTAAAAAGAAGGAGGTGGCGAAAGTTGAGGTTTTGAATGCGTATTCTCGTGTTTTATGGGTGGGTTGGCATCTTGTAGACCGATGTGTTGGTGCTAGTATGTATTCTGATTTTTTGATTGCTGTTTGGTTATAGTAAATACTATGCAGAAGTTCTAGTCGAAGTTTCCGTCTTGTAGATTCTAGACTTTCCCAGCCTAATGTGCCCTTTATTTTTGATATATACTAGCAAATGAGTTGTAATTTTTTCTGACGAAACGGGCTGTCTGGTTTTGAACTTTTTCTATTGTTTCTGCGAGATAATTTTGAGCCGGGTCCCACATAACACAAGCTTATTCCAGTATAGACCTTACATGCAGAAAATAAAGAGTTTCCTTTACCTCTTTTGTATCACAATGAAAGTTTCTGTGAAGAAAAAAACAGCATTATCTACTAGCATTTAAGATCATTTTAAGTCACTCAGATACTTTTTTAACTGCCTTTTCATCAATACTGTATGTGTGCTGGATTTCTGAAATGTTTTTTGCAAACCTGACGTGGTTGAACTTTTGAGATATTTAAGCACATATTCCACGTGGAGCGCCAATGTGTCACGGCGTTTAAGTCACCTTGTAATAATTCAGTGTCTGCAATTGAAGTGATGTGATGGTAGATGACGCAATCATCTGCGAATAATTGAAAGCTAGATTTTATGTTATCTGCTATATCATTTATGTTAATCAAGGATAACAGCAGACCCAGAACGCTGCCTTGTGGCACGCCTGAAGTCACGTTTACATATGAAGACATTTTAGAATTTAAGACAACGCACTGTTTACGACAGCTAAAGTAATTCCGGAGCCAGGTTTGTAGCTTGGCATTAATATTCAATGAAGCAAGTTTAAGTTTTAGCAGATTATGCACGACCAAATCAAATGCTTTGCGAAAATTAAGAAACAATGCATCGACAATGTTTATTACGATCAAGCGTAATCATTATTTTGTGTGGAAATTCAGTTAGTTGGATTGCGCATGAACGACCCTGGCGAAATCCATGCTGGTAGTGAGTGAAAAAACGGGTAGATTTGAGATATTTGAACAATGCTATATAAACAATGCGTTCTAACAATTTGTGACAGGTTGACATGAATGATATGGGACGATAGTTTTGTACTTGTTTTTTGCTTCCTGCCTTGTGCACAGGAACCACATTTGCTGTTTTCCAATCCCCTGGAACCACGCTGGTGTCTAGAGACAACTTGTACATTATGCATAAATATTGTGCAATAATAACATGACATTTTCTAAGTACATGAGATGATATACCATCAGGCTCCGTAGCCTTGCAGGTGTCCACAGTACGCAAAAGACTATCCAGTGTAGTTGACTTCAATTTCCGCCATTTCATTACCAATATTTTTGGAAGGTAATATTGGTGAATTTTGAGTCCTTGTCGAAAACAATGACTGAAAATAGGCGTTAAATGCTTAAGCTTTTTCCAAGTCATCTGTTTTAGTTTTTTCTACAGTTAAGTGGTCAGGGATAGCTGTGTCATTCTTTCTGTTGCTCTTGACGTACTTCCAAAAGAGTTTTGGATTACGCTTCAGATCTGTGTTTAGCTTGTCAAAGAAGACAAATTTTGCCTGTTTCAATTTTAACTTTGTTTCATTTACTGCTGTTTTTAAGGAACTTTTTGTGGGCATTAGCTGCTTTTCTAACACGTTTGCGTATCTCCGAGTTGAACCAGGGTTTGTGCATCTTTCTGCATCTTAGACACCTCTGAGGTACGAGCATATTCACCACAGCTCTGTAATCTTGTCATGGAAAATCAGCCACAATTCATTCATGCCACGTGACTCCGATATGCATGAAAAAGTGGGATAATACAAGACCAGCGCTTCATAAATTTCGCCAAGGTCACCTTTGGCGTACATGAAAACATTGTGATGGGGTTGCTTACACGCAGGTATTCCAGAAACGTTTAATTCCGCAACAACATAACTATGATCACTCTTCCTGGGCATACATTTGTGTGAACAATAAAGCTTTCATTATTGGTTAGGAAAGATCTAGTAATACGTTAAACCGTGTTGGTTCGTTCACATATTGCTGTAGTTCGCAGACGCGCATGCGTTCTGAAAAGGCACAATTCCGAGTCTTCTGTGGGGTTTCACAGTCATTGTCGATGTTGTCATCGTCGTCATTATTGTTGTTTGTTGTTGTTGTTTGTTGTTGTGCTGCGCAGCACTACGTGGTCAGTAAGCCGGGGTTATAATCAAGAAAAAATGTGCCCATGTGTTAATACATTTTGAAAGAAAGGCAGATCTAGTGTGAGGTTGACCATATGTACTCACATAGTACCGATCGTTACTAATGTAAGCTACACGTTATATGGTTATATCTATCCGCTCTTGTAGAATCGTAAAACAAAACAACAGCAAATGTGCCTCACTACACATACGCCTCAGAGCGACGAAGACTTCGCACACTGCTACTGGTGTCCCCAGAAGATACACATAAATTGTTTTTGTTAGCCACTGCCGAAGTGCCGTCGTAAACACATCAAGCCTTTTGTGAATGTGGCCGATACTATGCGGTCATGAAAGCGCATATAACAGTAATTAAGGGGGTTCAGCATTCCACAAAACATGATATGATTATATGAGATGCGGTAGTGAAGGGCTCCGGAAATTTCGTCATTTGGAGTAATTAACGAGCACCTAAGTCGAAGCACGAGGGTCTCAAGCATTTTTAGTGCATCTAAAATGCTGCAGCCACCCCCGCGATTCAATCCCGCTACCTGCAGGTCAACACTCGAGCACCGTCACGCCTATACCACCGTGGCGGGTTTGTTTTTTAAAAACATGTTGATAGTATTAGTTCTAGGTTCTATGATATGTCTGCCATAGATTTATACTTGAATTCATTAAAGTTAAGAGCTGTGTTTTCGGTGTCATAATACAGGAAATATACTGATAGCATTGAGAGAAGAAGAAAAAATCGCAGACAGTAATGGAAATAAAATAGACGAAAACCGCAAAGAGGATAGTCCTGGCCATGATTCCAATCAGTGAACGTAACCCTGTTACCTATCAGGCGAGAAAGAGAGAATCATTTTAATAAGCCTCTCCAGCTCCCCATTAAAATAATTCTCTCTCTCTTGCCTGATAGGAAACAAAGCGGCGCGGCGCAATGAGAGCCAGTTCGTATATGTTCGGACAATAACGTTTGCTGTTGAAGTAACCGAAGGTCATAGACTTATGTTGTTTTTATGGCGTGGAGCGACCACTCAAAAGACTGATCTTTATGGAAAAGACCTCACTTTTTAAAACGCTTACCCCCGTATTCTAGAACGTCCCTTCACTCAACGCTTCACCTTAAATAGAGAAAACAGATTGGAGCGCCGTCTCTGGGCACGGTAAGTCACTGCATATCAGCCACAATCTGCTGTGATTCTAGAGCAGCGCAGCGTCATTTTCAGCTGAGCGGTGGGGCAATGCTCAGCTATGTCAAGTGAAGGAAGAAAGTCGAGTCGAGGAGTGTTTGTGAATACGGGGGTTATTCTGTTTTCTCGTGTAGAGCTTTAAGGATCGCGAAGCGCCGTCACATAGGTGCGCGATATGAGACGATCTGCCGTATTAACTGCAGGTGCGCCTATCATCCAAGCATGAAACGGGTAAGGGTGAGGTTCGTTACCCTTACGATATATCTCGTATGACGATGTTTCCTGCTGTTCTTATCTGATACCTGTTGAGGCACTCGGCCCGCGCCCCTGCACTTGAATTGTGGCTTTTGTCCGTGCTACTACTTTGCGATAAACAGCATTTCAATAAATAGAAGATGACACACATCACGTGCCATCTAGGCCTCTTGATTACAAGTTACGTTGCAAGCGGGGACCACGCGAATTTCTAGGACACCCCTTTCTCCCAATCGAGTGTATTATACTTTTGTATGTTTGTTATCAGTTCAATAGAATATATAATTTTGGTTTCTCTAAAGCACCTTTTATCGTTCGTGCGTGCGTCCATAGTAATCATATATTTGTCCTTAGGAACATTGCCCATCACGGTGGTCTGCTAAGGTACTCGGCTGCTCACCCGCAGGTCGCGGGTTTGAATCCCGGCTGCGGCGGCTGCATTTTCGATGGAGGCGAAAATGCAGTAGGCCCGTGTGCTCAGATTTGTGCTCAGAATCAATCATCCAGATTGATGATTGATATGTTTGGTTTAACGTTCCAAAACCACCATATGATTATGAGAGACGCCGTAAGAGAGGACTCCGGAAATTTTGACTTCCCGGGGTTGTTTAACGTCCACACAAATATGAGCACACCGGCCTACTGCATTTGCGCCTCCATCGAAAATGCAGCCACTGCAGCCGGGATTTGATCTCGTGACCTACGAGTCAGCAGCCGAGTACCTTAGCCACCAGACCACCGCGGCGGGGCGATATCAATCAATCAGTCCTAGGAGCATTTATTACATAAATGACTGATCGATCCTTCAATTGATTGATTGGATCGTTTGTTAAATAGGGAAATCAATAAATGTACAATGGTACGTTTTTTAATCAATAGGTACTTGTTATAAACATCACGAGGACGCTTATCACGTCAGAGGAGAAGAGTAGCCGCCACCACACATCGACCGCAAGGTCTTATTTATTACATATAGTTAATGAAAATGCCAGACAAAGCTAACTCCGGTTAGTTTATATGCATCGAGAATATTGAAAGAAGATAATGCAGCGTTTGTAACCACAGATACTCTGCACAATACCAGCCCATGTTACCCGACACAGGTGAACATGGGAGAGCATGCACGAAATTTGATTCAATATACCGCCTCATATATATGTCAATGCTTAAATTACCATTTAAAAACTCTCACAATTAGCTAGCACTAGGAACACGTAACAAGCCTTTTGTGGTCGTTAATCCAACTCAGTAATAAAAGACACGAGTCTACGTCCCTCACCACCCAGTCAAAGTTAGTCAGTACTATGAAGGGCTGGCAGTATACAGGTAAATACAATAGCCCAGGAAACTAGCTTTTATCGTTCACTCATTGCCATTTCCCAATCGCAGGCAGGTGGAGGGGGGTGTACGGTGATTAGCTAACGCATGGATTAGCTTTCTTTTTTAAATCTTTGAAGTACAATCAACAACCTTTCACTTCAGAATCTCGAGACTCCGCCTACGCAGGTGTCGGTTCCGTCCACCCAGCGCACTTACCAACGTTCCAGTTGGGGCAGTCCATCTCGGTGCACTTGTCCGGTGGCGTCGCCGGCCACGTGATTCCCCGGTAAACGGTCTCTTCACACTCGTCCATGTCCGGTAGATCTCGCCTTTTCTGCAGCTCAGTATCGACGAAGTCTGCAGTGCGGTAATAGGAAGGACCGCACTTAATAGAAGGTTGCTATAATCATGGTATGCTTAGCTGAGCTTACACTAATTTGAATTTACGAAAACAGTACCTTCGTAGTTAGTGAACAAGTACTGAACGTTTGGTACACCGTCTTGTATAGGGCGAATTGAAAGTAACCGCTCTTAATAAATGTGAACACATCCACTATTAAGTGGTTTTTCTGTTTGCAGCTTGTCTGTGTCATCTTCTGTATATCTGATGTACGAGCATTCGGCAATTTTTAGATGCGGAGCATCTTATACTCGCGCCTTGTAGTGCGCCGTCCGCACCGCTTCTCGAACATTCGACAGCTGACGCGCGCGCATGCGCCGTCGCGCCGTCGCCCACTCTTCCACCATCTGTGCATCCCTTCCTCCTCTACACACCGCGCGCGCTTCACTCCTCCACCATCTGTGCACCCTTCCTCCTCTACACACCGCGTTCGACATCTACAATTCTCCTGATTCTCCAGTGGACGCGCATGTGGTGTCGCGCTTCGAGAACATTCAACAGCTGACAGTGCATGCGCCGTCGTGCTGTATACTTACTCAAGGTCGGCGCTCGCTCGCTCAGTTGCCGCTCGTCGGTTGGTTTGTACGGCGCGTCGACGTCCAAGGTCGCGGTGAAATGAATTCCAACGAATCCACAAACACAATGATCGACGTCCCTTCGACCAGCGCCGCCCTTTCGCATACGTGTGTACGTGTTCACTCATTTAACACCCCCTCCTACAACCACGTTAACCAATTTAGCCATCGACCCAAGTAAGTCGCAATTTAACACCCCATTTCACAACCACGTTAACCAATTTAGCCATCGACCCAAGTAAGTCGCACTTTAACACCCCGTTAACCAATTATATGGTCCGCATCCTCCTCAGTGTTCCCCCGAGGGAAGCTGCGGGCAATTTTTTTGTCCATATCAGCCCTTTTATTCTCACCCCCTCCGTCAGCTTTCTATAGCTGGCTAGTGTGTGCTGGAGAAAAGAAGCAAACGGAGCAAAGCAATGCAGAAGGCAAAACGCACTGACAAAGTGCACCATGTAAGAGAAAAGTATTTATTTCCAGCTATAGGTGGAAATAAATCCTATAGGCGGAAACTTACATGGTGCATTTTCTCAGTGAGTTTTACCTTCTGCATTGCTTTGCTCCGTTTGCCTCTTTTCTTCAGCACACACTAGCCAGCTGATTTATGCACTGCGCCATCTCTGTTTTTTCCAGCTTAAACACCGCAAATTTGTACCAAGGAAGTTCTCATATGAATATATACATCGCCAATTCTCCGTGCGTGTTGCATGCTCGTATACTTACGCCTTCCACGAAACAGCGCCCAGACTTCAGAGGCTTTCTGCATGACTGCGCGCCGACGCCGGCTCTTGCCTTCGGGTGCCGGTGCAAGTACCAGCTTCTGCTCCTTAAGTAGCATGTTCAGGCGTTTCTGGAAGGCGTCTTCAGGTTCTGATGCAGTACTTGTAGCTGGCGGGGAGACAGTAGTGTTGCCATGTGCAACGTCCGGGGATGATACTGGTTCAACCGGGCTCTCCGTCCGGCTTGCCGTGGTAATCGAGGAGGTGGTGTGGCATTCTAGTTCCGAACCTGAAAAAAATTTTCCCAGGTGGAATTTAATTTTCCTATATACGCAAATGGGGCAATAAGCAAAGCAAATTGAACTGTTTCTTGTTTTCTAGAACACTTCATAGCAGGAGAATTCTGTGATATAAAGGAAATATTATTATGTTGTCGTAATAGTGTGTATTGCGAGCAGTGCGTTAGAAAACGCACTCTATATTCGGTGAACACGCACTTAGAAGGGTAAGCACCACTTTTCGGCAATGATAACAGGGCATAGTCCTCGATTCGGTTGAGGTGAAAATGCTGTTGGTCTTTGTGCTCATACTTGGTTGCACGTTAAGAAACACATGGCAGTCGAAATTGCCGGAGCCCTCCATTACATAATCATACGGTGGTTTTGGGACGTCAAACCCTACATATCAACCAATCAATAAATCAATCATAACATGGTCCTCAATTTTCGAATCGGTATCTTAGTGGGTCAAGTGCACCAGCAACTTGCTAATTGTACATTTAATATAATGTGAAATTATCAGCAAAATTTGAGAATTTAAAGAATAAGTTTAGAGTTTGGTGAGCCAGAAAATGATTATTATAAATGATGTAAGTAGTATCGGAGGTTTCCAATACAATTCAGGACCACCTGAAGTTCTTTAGCATTATTTTACTCACAGTGGTGTTCAAAAGTTCACAGGCCCCTATATCGTGTGCATTTTTTCAGTGGTGTAAGACGGAAATATTCTTCAATCACGAACAAAACAGGTGTCAATCGCCAAGCCACAGATGATGTCCAAAACCACGAGAGGGCACTGCCATTAGAGTACATGGGATAGTGGCCTGGGAACTTTTGACTACCGCTGTAGATGTTCGTGGCGTCGTCATTAGATACTTCAATATACTATGCACGTGTACGAGAGACGGCTCACTGCTCTTCTGTTGTTGAGTACGAAGTGCTCTTAATCGTTACACGCTTTTTCTAAACGCGCGAGAATTCACAACACTATTCAGTTTGCGCCCATAGCCTCATTTGACGACACTTTTTTATATTATGCTCGGCAACTACATTTAAAAGCATTTGTACTTAGTGAACTTGTTCGCGTATTACTAATTTTGTTTGAATACAGTTCATGCTTAAAAGACAGTGAGAACGAGAAATTTGTGAGGAAGTAGAACTTTCCAGCTGGCCTATATCCTGAAGAGCTCTACTTTTCATGTAAATGTGCAATGTAGACGCACAGTATTCCTCGACTGCGTTCCACAACACGTAATATATCATTTCAATTTTGGCATATCGATCCCCACTCCTCTCACACAAATAAAATGTTTGCTATGCAATGTCAATACTGACAGGCGCTCGTCCCTTCGCAGCAGCTGAATGCACCTGCAGCGGCTCACCAGGTGTGACGACTAATAAACGACAAGGTAGATTATTCCTGGCTTCATATTCTCAGGGCATATTGCTTAAGTCAAAGCTGCTTCTGCGAAATATGGTTTATCTTTGACCTATAGGTGGCCAGCGACTAGGCTGCGATAACGTTTACTTCATAAGTGTCAGCGACCACAAATCAACCACTGCAGCATGGACTGTTATATAACCAAGAAACCGTCGACAGCAGCAATGTGTAAGCGCGAGTAGTTTATCACCAACGTCCACTATATATGGTTGACATGCCTACATAATCCAGCCGATAGCTGATATCCTGCAGGACATGATGCTTCGGGTATTGCTGGCCAGGTGGGTGTATTTCCGCCGAGTTACTGCAGACGTGTGCGGGAGAGGTCAAAGTTCAAAATCTGATTACCTCCCTCTGCAAATCTAGTTATGTGCACCTGCGAAACCGTTTCATGTAACATTTCAAACGGTTAAACGGTGAACGGTTAAACGGTTAACATTTCAAACGGTTCCGCTCGAAGTTCGCAGGTTTTATCTGAGTTAAAGCTTTACGCTTTTGAGTTCACACATCATGATTCTACGTACTATTAGGCGTAGATTCCCAGTGTTTTGTGTGTGTCTGTGTGAGATTGAAGGGGCAGTGAGGAGATACAGGACTTAACCTTCCACTAATCCTGAGGTAGTCAAAGTGAATCTAGCATTTTTATGGCCAGAATTTTTGAAGTTTGTGCAAGGTACGTTGTCATGAATGGTGGTAGCGGCCATAGCAAGACGAGCCTCCCCACCCCTTTCAGACTCTAATTGTGAGTGAGTTTGGGGCTGTGTAACTGACTCTTCTGTCCACTCTTAGTGTTTGCGTGGTATGACATGCAAGTCTACGAGTACTCAAGTACTATTTTTCCGTAGCTGCGAGGCTCTTTGACTGGAGGGCCGTACACATAGTGTCGTACGCAAGTCCAGCTAGCTTAGCATATGCAAGCGTTGGCGTAAGCCAGAAAGATCATTGCTGTTGCTACCTAAGCGGATGGATATACGAATGCAAAAAAGGAGGATACAAACAAAAAGGGTGCTTGTGTATTGAGGAGCATCACTTCGGGTATACTTCTCTCCTAGGAATACGTAAAAGGCCATACGTATATTAATTGAAAGAAGGGAATTTTGGATACCTTGTTTCTTTGGCATAGCCCTAATGCAATTCACCTGATAATGAAACCAATGAAGGTATATGAAACTTCAATTGTACCACTTTATCTGTATCCTGATAACGCTACTTTAGATAAGAAAAAGTAATGTAGTAAAAAAAAGACAACTTGGCACTGGCAACCTGCGACCTTGTTTATCTCCCTTTTTTTCCTTGTTATACCACAATTATACACTAAACTTAAAACAGTTCGATGAAAGTTATCTATGCTTTCCTTGGTTTCATTATCTACTCGTTTTCATTACGGTACTTATATTGAAGAAAACTATGTGCGAACAGCCGATACTCTTGAGGTTATGTCAGTTAAATATCTGCGCAAGATTTCGAGCAAGATAACTTTTCTGTAAATCGTGCACGTGGAAACGTCACCTTGAATGGCACATTGACTGGTCATGTTCATTGGGAGAAGATAGGGGCCATGCAAGATAGTTACAGAAACGTTCCGCTTTTAGGCTTAAATTCTGTTTTATCAACAATAGGGCCTAAATTCGCTTTATGGGGCTTCGAATTCCCAGATCAGTAGGACGCGGCGACACAACAACGGGACACGTGATAAAAACGAAATGTCATCTCAAGTGTCATCCAATCGAACATGCGCGCAAGCGGATGTTATGTCGACACACCCTGCGATGAAGATCGAGGCAGTACCCGTGAAATCATGATAAGCCTTTCCATAACGAACTAGCGCAAGAAAAAGTTTGAAAATGAGCGTTCATTGTATTTTGTGGCAAAGAAGATTAAGGCGCCATCAAAAAGAAATCCGAAATGGCACAACGAGCGCGAACCAAAGTTGTCTTTATCTAGCTAATCGAAACTGTAGCGCCTGCATTTTGGTGGATACAATGTGCAGCTGCTCCCTCCTACGTAGAATAAAGCGCGCGATAAAGAAGTGCTGGAGTTCAAAGTTAATCCGGGAGTCCCCATTACAGTCAGCCTCGAGTGACAGGGGTCTTGAGCTCCTGTGGTTATTTTAGTGTCCTTGCATGTGCGGCGGAAGCAGATACAGGAATACGAGTTCTTTTGCACTCTCCCTGTCATATGCTGGTCACAGATGATGGCAGAGAAATCGTGACCTTAGAAGGGCCCCTGGAGCATTGACACTTTTAAGACTGGCTGCGAATCTGAGCACGTGCGCCAGACAACCTTTACTCTCGCTGTTCTACAGGTGTGGTGTAGGAATCCACCCGAACCACAGGGAAGTTCTATGTGAAACAAACAGGCAAATGCGTCAATGATCACAGGAGAAAGCATGCGAACAACTTCACAAATAATTTTGCGGTGCACCTTTAGGCGCATGTCAAAACCTGCCCTTGTGATCCGCGATTCCACGATGTAAGGACCCTCGGCGGAATTGAAGATATAACTACGCGTAAACTTTTCGGCGCATTCTTCTTGAAAGACAACAATTTTGATGTTCTCAGTCAATTCTCCATTTCATTTTATGACGCGAAACAATGATTTTTTAAATATATGATTTAAAGATACTTTGATAAGGTGTTACCATGTTCTTGTCGCCATCCACCGGCAAGTATCATAGAGAACAACGCGATAGCCTAAATGTGCGAGTCGCTTAGGTATCTTCAATAATTTTCTGTTTTGAGCACGTAAAAACACCCGATATAAATTTAGAATACTAGCATCTTTCCGCGCAACAAAACTCTATTATCCGCGGAGAATGCTAACAGGAATTGGAAGGTAATAAATACGACTAGAATGTAGAGGAGGCTCTGAAAACTTTAGCAGCAAAAGAGTAAGAAGGCATGTTAAATAACGCTTAAAGCATTACTTTGAAGAAGGCTCTAACACGTTTTTGATATTGCTGCAGACTAACTTGATGCAGTCCTAATTCAGCGTATCGAATAAGTTAACTGAGCTGGAATACTCGCTATATCCGTCAAGCTATCATTAATACGAACAATTGCTGGGTGCTGAAATAGCGTGAGGATGATCTCTTGAAAGGAGATCACTAAAAGATAGTGTGGGTTCACACAGACGAGGTACAGATACATCGTAGTTATGCGTGGGGACGCAGGCCGGAATATAAAACTGTCAAAGACGACTTTGAAAAAAATCAGGTTGTCTGTTTCTGTTGGGGCCAAGCGTGAATGTAGGAAGAGTTGAGCTCCTTCCTTGCTTCTTTTTATTTTTCATTTTCTTGACTTTCTCTCCTGGTTACTATGTTTCTTGTATCTACGTTTCGAACCACTTTTTATATCTCTTTATTTTTATCTCTTTCTTTCTATTTCTTTCTCTCTCAAGATGTTCTTTTCTCTTTCTCACTCTTTCTCTCTTCGCTCTCTCTCCAGCATCGTTTGTTAGTGCCTCTTTCTTGCTATTGCCTTCTGTTTCTTTTTCTATCTTGCTATGAGTTTTTTTTTTCTATCGATTTTTGTGTCTGTTGCATTGTTTTTTTTACTCTGTATTACTATC